TCCAGGAATCCTCTAGGCCCTTTGGGCCAGATTAGGACTCCTGAGGCATCCAGCCTCCTGAACTGAGCAACTACTGAAGTCTCAGCTTCTCTGGTAGAGACAGCTATTGTTGGGTGACTCTGACCATATTCTATAAGACAAACTAAGAGACTGTCTTTCAATAGGCATTTGTTCTATCTGTTCCATCCCGAGGTCTCTGATTACTACAGTGCCCCATAGGCTCGGGTGTTTGGCACCTCGGTCCCCAGCTACTGACTATGTATTCGCTTTATCTGTTCTGTTCCTTTAGAGAACCCTGATTACTACTGTCCCCCATAGGCTCATGCCTGTTTGGAAGGAGCTTTGCTGGAGGAAGAGGGTCACTGGAGGCAGGCCTTGAGGTTTGCTGGCTCAGCCCCACTTCCCGTCTTCTCTCTGCTTCCTGACTTTGGGTGTAAGTGATCAGCTGCCTCAGGCTACTGCCACTGCTATGTCTTCCTTGCTGTGATGGACTGTATCCCCTTAAAGTGGAGGCCAAGTTAACCCTTCCTTCCTGCTTCTTGCCAGGTTATTTGGTTACAGCAACAAGAAAGGTAACCAGCACAGGGCCCAAGACAGAACTAAGTAGAACACAGGGCAGGACCTAGGGTGGCTCTATGGGTGGCTGGTGACAGGAGCCTCTCACCTCCTAAGGTGGGTGGGAATACAGACCTTCTGGAGACAAAGTGACTCGTCTTATGAGCCCAGGAAGCAGAAACTGAGCTAATGATGGGGTTGGGTCAGATGTACCAGTGTGCCGTTGGGGGGGCATAAGTCTCAATTTAAATGGTAAAATGGACCCATTCCAGAAAACATCACCATGTTCAGCAAAATAATGTTGCATTTCTTGTGTGTGCACATGCACGTGTGGAACACGGAGGTCAACACCAGCCATCTGCCTCTGTTGCTGTCCACCATAGTTTTCTGAGACTGGGTTTCCAACCAAACCTAAAGCTCTCTGATTTGGCTAAACTGGCTGGCCAGCAGCCCCAGGGATCCTCCTGCCACCAGCTCCCCAGTGCTGGGATTACAGGTGTGCAGACATTTTGCGTGAGTGCCATCTTCCCGGCTTTGTGGTTGAGTCTTCTTGACTTAGTCTACCGTCTCAGCTGCCTGCATCAACCTCTTCTTTTTCCTTTAACATTGTCCTTGTTCCCCACAGGGCCAGAGGGAGCCCCCTCACTCAGTCCCCCAGATTCTCTAATGTTAATGGCCGTTACTTCAGAATTATAGAAACAACATTGGGGCACAAGAAGAAATGGCTTCATTGGGTGACGTCTGCCTTGTTTCATGTCCTCAGCTTCCGTTTTCTAACTCCTTGGGTTCTATGGACACGATCTCCCTGTGTAGCTCTGAACTTTAACTCATGACCCTCCTGCCTCCACCTACCAAGTTCTGGGACTACAGGCATGTACCACCATGCTCAGCCAACTCTCCATTTCTTTTAGGCATTTCTTGGCTTTGCAGGCATTCCGTAGTGTAGGAAGTATATTCCACCAGGCACGCGCAGGATTCCGATCCTTGTAGTGGCCCCAAAGGACATGAAGTAAGCTTTGGTTTCTCACCCATGCATGGATGGAGGTGCTGGGTGGAGAGTGTCCTTGGTGCTTAATGAGAACAGTCTTGGCTCAGAGCAGTACCATCTAACAGAAACACGATGAGGACCACATACATAATTTTAAATGTTCCACTTCTGACATCAGAAACTGTAAAATTTACTTTAGTAATACTTAATATATTTAATATATCATTCAATATTTAATATGTCTAAAAAATTAATGAAGTACTTGACATTTATATCAGCTTGCCAAGCCTGCTGTAACACAGGCCTTGGTTTGCTGCTCTGTGCTAGAGCAATAGCAATCTATTTCCTTACAGCACTAGACACTAGAATTTCAAGATCGAGGCAGGTGTCTTCTCACTGTCCTCAGAAGGTTGTTCTTCTATGGATGCTGTGGTTCTAATCTCCTGTTTGTGTGAGGATGGTAGTCAGTATGGATTAGGATCCATCCTAATGACCTGATTTGGCCTTAATTCCCACTTAACAGATACTGTCTCCAGGGCTGGAGAGATGGGTCAGCGGTTAAGAGCCCTAGCTGTCCCTGCAGAAGACCCAGGTTTGAATCCCAGCACCCACATGGCGGCTAACAACCATCCGTGACTCCAGTTCCATGGGATCCAACAGCCTCTTCTGTTCTCCGTGAGCACTGCACAGCATGGGTTCATGTACACACATGCAGGCATAACACTCATACATGTTTTATATATATGTATATATAAAATATATACACATATATATGAATGATACTGTCTCCAAATAGAGTCACATGTTAAGGTCCTGGGAGCTAAGTTTCAGCACATGAATTGAGGGGAACATACAGACCAGGCTGTAAGAACATTTATTTCATTTACAGTAAGTCTTGTGGGATGGGCAGATGGATCCGTTGGTAAAGTGCTTGCTACACAAACACAAGGACCCAACAGATCCCCAGAACCCACATAAAAAACTGGGTATGGTGGCATGTGCTTGTAATCCCATCCCTGGGGAAGCTGAGACAGCCAGATTCCCAGGGTTTGCTGGTCGACCAGCCAGCCTAGCCAAACCAGTGAGCAGCTGGCTCAGCAAGAGACCCTGCCTCAAACACATGATGGGCAGCTCCCAAGGGATGATACGCAAGGTTGCCTCTGTCCTCCACACAAAGTACGTCTTAAGATACAGGGTGCGCTGCGCACAGTTAACACGTCTCAGTAGGACAGGGCACACTCTCAATGCCCAGTGGCTGACACATGGCCTGTCACTCAGTAGGTGCCAATCTTCTCCAAGGGACCCCAGGTTAACCAAGACCCCCGTTGCGTTCCCTTTGGACGCACCACAGGGTGACCATCTTCTTGAGCCATTTTGGAATATCTTTCCTCCAAGACAGCTGCAGTCTAGGGGTGGAGAGAGGAAAGGTGTGCCTCTGGTTCTGCAAACATCAAACTTAGTCATCAGCCATTTGCCTTGACCCAATCCTTTCAGGACAGACATGAAGGACGTAGTTTCTGAATGCCTACCATGTGCCCCAATATGGCAGGACCACCTGTGCTTCTGAGTTATTTCCCAAATTGAATCGAGTCCAAGTCTGGCACAAACCATCAAACTTTTATCTTCTACAACTTGACCTTTCCTCCAGTACCCCACCTGATGAGACTTTGGCCTCCTCCTCACAAGCAATAGGGACCCATTCTTTATGTAGCTGTAACTTCTAAGACTCATGAACTAAAAGAAAGAAACTCAACTTCAGAGAAGCCAGGACAAAGCACAGGACCCAGGCCTATGAGACAGGTCTCCTCTCCTCTCTAGCTGTGAGAAACCACGCTGTTTAGACAACAGGCAGGGGCCCTGTCTTCTTAGAACACACGCACCACTTAGTAAAGTCAAGATGAACTGTTCCAGGACTAGAGAGAGAGAATGGGGGTAAAGCAATTGGGGTCCAAGTGTGATGGCCTGTGCTTGTACCTCCAACACCCATGTAGAGAGCCAAGGGTAGTGGTATGCATCTGTGACCCCAGCGCTGGGAGGCAGAGACAGGCTGATTCCAGGAGCTTGCTGACCAGTCCAGCCAACAACGGAGTTCCAAGCTCAGTGAACGACCTTATCTCAAAAATAAAAAGCAATGGGAAAATCTCCATGTCAAACTCTGGCCTCCATATGCTCCTGAATGAGTGAGTGCACCTCCCTACATGTGCACACAGACACACCACACACACACACACACACACACACACACACACACGCACGCACGCACTAACTCTTCCACATGCCATAAGCATTCCTGCCTAGAACTCACCTCCCCTGCCTAACCCAATACTGTGGTATGTGGTGCTCACCCGTGTTCTTCATGCCCCCTGCCCTCCTGGCCACCTGCTCAGCCCGGGCAGGTCAGTGTGGTATATGTGCCTTAGCAGATGATAGGATCTGAAGCTCTTCAGGGCTGAGCTACTCCTTAGTTACACCCAGTAGGAGACGCCTAGCCACCTGGGCTTCATGTACAGGAGGATGGACACAGCCCAAGTGAGAAGCATACCAGTCTTGCTTGGAGCTCTGGATATTTCCAGGTCAAAACTCCCAGACTATCCCGGCTCATCCCAGCCAGCACAGAAGAGAATGCTTTCCTACTTGCTATTTTTCCCAGAAAACTTCCTGCTTATGGATGATAAGGTGAACTTGTTGCTTTTTGGCTATTTACCCAGATACTTCATGTCTTGCTCCCAGGTGGCTGTTCATATAAAACTACAGTGCAGAGGCTGTGGAGGTCAGAAGAGGGCATCAGGTCCCCTGGAACTGGAGTTACAGATGGTTGTTAGCCACCATGTGGGTGCTGGGAATTGAGCCTGGGTCCTCTGCAAGAGCAGCCAGTGTTCTTAACCACTGAGCCATCTCTCCAGCCTGGTTTTATGAATTTCTGAAGCTGGGACAGCTCATATTTACAGTGACTGCATATCTGAATCGCAGGGACAGTGACTATATAAGATGGTCAATTAAAATGATGGCACATTTCCTTTAGCAGGAGTCAACTGAAGATATAATTTTGCTTAAGCCAGTTAATCTACACGTTGCCAAAATGGAACAATACCTGTCTTGCCATAGGATTAATTTCTCAGTGACAAGAGAAAAATGCACGAGGCCAAAGGCACACAAGTGCTCCAAGCACACAGACAGTCGGAATCACTTTCCCAGACCTCGTTTCCCAAATAAGAGCCACAAACATGAGTTTTTTCCGACCTTACTATCCACAGGGCATCTAAAAAAGGCTATTGATTTTTGTTTATAAAAATTTCTTCTTATGATTAGAGCTGGAGGAACATGCATAAAATATTTCAGTACAGAACTTGTAACACATTCCTGGTTCTGCGAACATCACGTGTTAAAAATATGTTTATAGTGCTGACGTCCCTGAGGCACACGTAAGAGACCGAGGGAAGCAGTGTTCCTTTCTTACCTTGCCCTTGTCAAAGTAGTGGATGATCTCCTGGTAGAGCTGCTCTTTCAGCTGCCCCTGCGTGGTTGCCTGGAATCCGTCCCGCTGAGTGAGGTGGGCCGCACACACATCCTCTGACCACTGAGGTAAAAACAACGAATGAGCAGTGCTGAGGCAGGGGCATGCCCGATAATATCCCCAAGTACCGAGCAGGACGGGATCAATATACGCTATGTGCTGGGTGTGTGTATGCGAGACCCTGGTTCCGGGGATCCGGCGCTGCCGTCATCAGGCTGCCAAGGTCTTGGAATTGCCAGGGTAGAAGCTTAGTCCCTGGGGGCCCAGGGCCAGGCCAGTCAGAGGGAGGCAGAGCTGGGGTCTGATTTGCACAGAAGAAAATCCATGCAGGGTCTGAAAAGCATAGACTTCCAGCTTGCAAACAGCTTCCTAACAGCCTGGGGTGTTAGGTGATTGCTAACCGTCTTCAGTAGGCAACTAAAACTCTTTGTCCTTGGTCAGATGCTACTCAGAATCTCAACACAAGCAATGTGTGTGGATCACCAGTCATAAGGTAAAGGACTCCCCAGGCCATCAAGCTCCTTAGGGATGGGAGGTGTCAGAGGTTGTGGAGATGTTGGCCAGTTTTAGTGTGAATTAAAGACATGCCAAAGGCCACTTGACAGATAAAACGTGAAGTCCTTGGTGTTGGACAAACCAATGGTGTCTGGATGGGCTTCAATACCATGAGAAGATATTTGGTGAGGACCTTCTCTGTGCCTATGGGTCAAAGATGTGTCAGGAGCCTCACCAGAGGAGCTCTGAGCCACCCAGAAACAATGTGATCGCACAAGTGCATCATGGACTGTAACAACCCTGAAGAGGTTTCCGTGGGCATCTAGAGGTGGGAAGTGAAACTCTGCATGGGGTGGTGTGGGGAGGCTCACAGGCAGATACAACAGGAAGGGGCATCTCAGCTGGACCTGTGAGGTGCAGTATGGCCCTGTCTAAAGACGGGATAGTGTGGCCACTGCAAAGAAGTAAGTGATTCCCAAGTCAGAGTCCCTGAACAAGTAAGAAAGGGTGGCAGGATGACCTGTGGACTCAGTGCTTACAGCTAAACAGTGGGACCAGCTGTGGTGGTACTTATTAGAGGCATGATAGATGACAGGAGGAGGGAAAAGGTGGAAATCTGGAAACCGCTGTGGCGTAGGACAAAGGGCCAAATGGACTGTTGTGAAGGGATAGGAGCCTGGGCCCAGGGAGCACTGACTTGTCATGAGAGATGCTTGCTCTCACAACACACATCTCACTCTCTTTTTCCAAGCCAGGGGCCCTGGAGTACCTCATGCTGGATTTCATAGGCCTCAGAAACCTTTACGTGGTCTGCAAGATCTAAGTTAAAATTGGACTTGCAGATCCCACTCACAAGTAGAAATGATATACTCATAAACTTTAGAGTCTGGGTAACACAGCTAGTGTCATGACCATGTTTTCGAAGTGGATATGTGAAAGGAAAAGCTAAAGTTTAGGGGATTCTGAAATGTAACTACCATAAAATAAATAATAACAAGAAGATTCGAGCTGCTTCCACGATTTTAGGATCACTGTAAAAAATAATATATTGAATAGGGAATGAAAAGTCCCCCGTACTTAAATATGGAGACAAAATAAACTCACTACTAAGCTAAACATGAATGCTTTTAATCATTGTTGGTTTTCATCAAAAATAGTCCCAGTAAAAAAGAAGATCCTGAAGATATTTTTACTTAACAGACAACAATGCAAATAATTTTCTTTAGTGAGTTGATTAGCCAGAAAGAATTCATATTGATAGCAATAACAAACAGATTTAGGGAAAAATGTATTTATTAAAAAATGTAATAGTGTAAAAACTATGGAGACAAATTATGTTGCATTCACTATATAATTGGAAAATTCAGAACCCAGCGGAAAAGATAATGCAATTGAGGCTATTGATTTAGGCTGCGGAACAAGCTATCATTCATTCTGTGACAAACCCGTCTGTACTCAAAAAATCCAAACACTAAACAAATGGTATATTTATGCACATATATATGTTTTACATTCACACAGACTTAAAAGTTTATGTTCTAAGAGTGAGCAAGCAGTCCGTCAACCTGTTTTAATTTCCCTGGTGTGAAAAACAAGATCTTCATATTCACAAAAACACCTTGTTACTGAAATTTGGGTTTCTAATAAATGAAGGCCATTAGAATCTGCAGTGAAATGGCTGTTTCCAAAGGCTCTGCCTGAACTCTCTAACTTCAGAATGACGCTGCTCGGGAGAGCTTAGGTGGCTACGAGGCTGAGTGGGTCCTCAGGCATCTGCGTCTCCAGGACTGTGGAGGGCGTACCAGAGTAAGTCAGCTCTTTGCCTTTAGCCTATTCAGGATCCCGCTCATCTCAAGCAGAGGGAAACTCCCACAAGACCTGCTACAGGCCAGCCTGTATGTGTATTTGTGTCACAGGAGCAGGACAGAGGCCAAAGGAGTCATCCTGGAGTCCAGCTCCCTAACGTGGTCCTCTACTCTCACGGCCCACCAGGCGTCTCTCAATGCCCGTTTTAAGGTAATTCTCTTTGATTTCCTCTCACTCCACTTTTGCTGGGGAGGCTACCCTAGATTCGGAAACAAGATTCCTTGATTAAGCAGTCTGACCACTCTTGTTTATCTAGGGTAGAATTTTCCAACTTTTTATAAGGATATCACAAGAAAGAGAATCTAAGATGCCAAAATTCTAAAATATAAAACTTCAAGTTACACAGCAATTTCTCCATCTTTTCCTCTCTCCCCACTTACTACCATCTACCCATCCATCCTCCCGTCATCGATCCATCCATCTTATCATCCATCTGCTCTTCTCCATCTGTCCATCTTTCCATCCTCCCTTCCACCTACCCATCCATTCATCCATCCATCTGTCCCTATGCACCTAATCCATCCATCCTCCCTTCCATCCTCCCACCTACCCATCTATTCTTCCACTCATCTGTCCCTATTCATCCATCCATCATCCATCCATCCATCATCATCCATCCTCCCTTCCATCCTCCCACCTACCCATCCATTCTTCCACTCATCTGTCCCTTTTCATCCATCCATCCATCCATCCATCCATCCATCCATCCTCCCTTCCATCCACCCACCTACCCATCCATTCTTGCACTCATCTGTCCCTATTCATCCATCCATCCATCCATCCATCCATCATCCATCCATCCTCCCTTCCATCCTCCCACCTACCCATCCATTCATGCACCCATTCCCACATCTTTACATTCATGTATCCATCCATCTGTCCGTCTGTCCGTCCGTTTGTCCATGCATCCATCCTCCGTCCTTCCATGCACCTTTTCCTCTCTCCTCCCACAGTCACCCATCTATCCACTCACTCCGCCACCCATACATCTTTTAGCCCATCTGTTCTAGTGATTTTCGGAGGATCTAGTCTGCATTATTAACTGTTTTGGAATTGGACATGAGAGGGAAAAAGAACGTATCATCATAAGCAAAAAGTGTCTTAAGGCTACCTTCAAGACACTGAGAGTTCAATGCTGTCACGCCAGACTGCTGTTCGTTAGCAACATTCTTTAGAGAATCAGGCAGACAATGCTAAAGGGAAGTTCCACCATGGCCTGCTCTGCATGGATTCCCGGGTCTCGTCCTTATACTCCGCCAGTGTGGCGATCGCTCCTTCCTAGCAGCTCTACCTCGTTTCCCTTATTATTGTGTCGTTCCCCTTACTGAGTCCTGTTGGTACAAATGAGGAATTTTACAGTCTGACTCACTGTCATTCCAAGGCCCAACGAAGTGGGTTTGCAAAACCTAACATCTTGTTAAATCTACATTCAGTCGGACCAATTCTGTAACCAAAGCACTTCCTGAATATTTTTTATGTCACTGCCTGCAGCCAATAGCCATAAAATCTTATGCTAGTGGTTTGCTAAAATTTGTCATTAAAAAACTTCGAAGGAATCTTAAAATCTACAAAAAAGGACCCCGAGATGTACGTGGCAATTCTGTTACCTTGAGCAGCTTGGCGTGGAGGAGCAGGGTGTAAGCCGCCTCTGTGTAGTTGTCGCATTCTTTGTGCAGGTCGCAGAGCTTGTACAGGTACCTGAGATGACGAGATGGAGGTATGTTCTTAAGATGTCACGAGATAATTTGCGTTGAGGATTGCAAGCACCAAATTCAATATTCAACAGTGACTCACGGGTGTATTTTCGTTTACTGTGTTCATAATTCACAATGCCTTAAAAACTTTTGGTGTAGAAATCACTAAAAGAACCAACACTGAAATGGGAATAGATGTGAAAATATGTGCAAGGACACTACACACACGTAAGTAAAATTATGTATGGACGTGTGCACACTATATACTATACAATTTAAACCCTCATTGCAAGAAAAAATAAAGATGGTTCAAAGAATTTTCTTTCAGTTTCTTCTTTCATCTTTTCTAATTTTTCCTCAAACATTTGAAATGAAATTAGAGACTCTTGATCATGATTTCTTGCATATCTCTTGAATCAACATAGAGAGAGAGAGAGAGAGAGAGAGAGAGAGAGAGAGAGAGATCCATAAAAATTCGAATCCACAAGATAAAGAGCCCTATTGAATGTGATCAAAAGAATGTCTGCTGTGAAGAGGAAAAAGTTTTTACGTTTTGGATCAACGAAGCTGGTTGTTTTGCTAAGTTTATTATATTTATATGGTATTTTTAAAAGAAGAAATAAAAAAGTAAGAAATCAAAAGTTATACAATCACACTCAGTATAGCAAAAACACAGTGATGCATTTACAATGCACAGATGACAGACTTATCCTAATTATTAACAAGGTCACCTTTCTAATTAGTTAAAACCAAAGAAATGCAGTACCATACTCTAAGCAAGTACTTTTACCTTATTGAGATGCTGGGGATCAAATCTAGGGTCTCCCCATGCTAGGCAAGTGTTCCCTGGCTTTTTTTTTTTTTTTTTTGTTTTTTTTTTTTTTTTTTTTTTTTTTTTTTTTTTTGAGACAGGGTCTCCCTGTAGCACCAGCTACACTCACTGTGTAGACCAGGCTGGCCTGGAACTCACAGAGATCAGCCTGCCTCTGCCTCCCAAGTGCTGGGATTAAAGGTGTGCGCCACCATGCCCGGCTCCCTGGCATATTTTTTTAAAAAGAAAATAAAGAAGCAAAGTCCAGCAGGCCAAGAAAACCCTTTTTATTTCATGGCAGAAAGACAGACAGTGGGAACACAGTGCTGGTTAAAGGAAGAGTGGACTGCAAAATTATATAGTCCATTTGGGGTATGTTTGTAACCAGATTTTTCATTCGATTATATGACTTACTAGGAAAAATTAAAACTTATACTGTTATTTTTTTTGTTTTATTTTATTTTTTTTTTGTCTTTCTGAGAATGGGTCTCCTTGTAGCCCCAGCTGGCCTGGAACTCGCTATGTAGACCAGGCTGGCCTTGAACTCACAGAGATTCACCTGCCTCTGCCTCCCAAGAACTGGGATTAAAGGTGTGCGCCGCCATGCCCCACAAAACTTGTGCTGTTATCTTTTTTTTAAGGGCCACATGAGTTGATTAAGAAATAGAAAAACTTGTGAAAGAATTGCTGATATTTTGGCTTCGGAGTTAGCTAAATGCAACTCCCCTGGCTCTAAACTCTACTCTGCTATATAAGGGTCTAGAGCACATCTGTGACTCCCCAGCAAACTTCGCTTCAAAGTCACCATGATTTTCTGCAAAGGAAGTCCTCTGGGGTACAAAGCATTTCTTCATGAGGACTTGAAACACACTGATTACAATAGATGCACAGGATGCAGGCAAGTGTGGCACACGTACCTTATGTACATCTCTTCTCTTTCAATTTCTTTGTAGAAATTCTGAAAAATTAAGCCACGACATTGTTTTAAGAAATTGACTTCATTATGTAACATGGTATTACATGGAATGAATATATGTTTATATACTTATTTATAGACAAAATGAAAATGAAAATTAAAAGAGACCAACTTTGCAAAAGGGTTCTACATTACAAACCCACAATTCCTCAATTCATGTCAAAGTGGCTGGTCCTCAGCCCACACAGAGCACAGTCATCAATTGCCGGCTTTCCTGACTTCTGTCTGGTAATAAGTGCATCTCCTACGCTTCGGACACTTGAGGACGAAAACTTAACAACTGTCATTTGAAAGTTACCTACGATCAGTGAAAATGAGGTTCTGGCTGAAAACATGATCTCTCTTTTTAAAAACTTCTTTTTTGATTTGTTTATTTCATTTTCTGTGTATGAGTGTTTGCCTGCATGTATGCAAGTGTGCCACATGTGTGCAATGCTTATGTTGGCCAGAAGAGGGCACGAGATCCCTGAAACTGGAGTTAAGGATGGTTGTTAACTGCCATGTGGGTGTTAGGAACCAAACCCAGGTCCTCCGCTAGAGCAGCCAGTGCTTTAAACTGCTGAGCCATCGCTCCAGTCCCCAAACACCATCTCTTAACCATTGTAATATCATCGAAATAAATAACCCAACTTTGTGAGTAAGAGTCATCATGAGATGAATTCAGATGCTGGGACCAGCTAAGTGAGAGCCACAGTAGTGTTAGGGACGTATTCACTCTCATCTGTCCCCAGCCACTAGCCACATACATGTAAAGGTAGAGTCACTTTGGTTATTGAAAGTCAAGAATCCACCTTCTTAGCAGAACCTGCCACATTCTGATGTTCTAATAGTCACGTGGGGCTATTGTGACCATCAAAACAGACCATCCCCACCAATCCAGAATGTCCCTGGAGTATCACTCATTATTCTAGACAGACAAACCTTCCAAACCACAGCAAGAGAACAGGTAACCATGTCAAGATGCCCCTTGTGTGCAAACCCTGGTGGTGAAAGGTGAGTTTGTAGATTACAATAAATGGCCACTCAGAGGTGGAGGCAGAAGGGTCATCAGTTTGGGCCAGCATGGGCTATGAGGAGAATCCCAGACCAGCCTGGGTGACGTATCAAGACCCTGCCTCACCCTTCCCTCTCCGTTACATTTCTTCTTCATATGGGGTATCTCTAAATACTTCCGCACTTTAGCATTTAAGCCATACTTAGGGCACCATGGCCATCACCTCACAGGGCCTGTGGTATGGAAGCAACATAACCATTTTTTATATTAATTTTTCTTTGTTCTTAAGAATTCCACATATGTAAACAATGAAACATGATCATCTGCCCCCTCCAAATCTCCCTCCAACACGGTTCCTCACAACTTCATGTCCTTTTTTTAAAAAAAAAAATCATTAAATCCAATTAGTGCTGCCCATGTGTGCATGGGTCTGGGGCCATCCAGTGGAGCATGGGAAACTAGTGTGGCCACAGCCTCCAAGAGCGATTCTCCCTACATCAAGCTTCAATTGCCCAGAACTCAGTAAGGGCAGGGCCTGGAAAGCCCTTCCCCCCTCTCATCACAGCCAGTTTTCAACATGAAATTTAGCCCCTGAAAATGATGTTCAAACTCTAAAATTGGTGCCTTAGGGAGCTGGAAAATATCATAAAGGCACACAGTGACCCAATAAGATGACATAGGCTTTTAATTTTACAAGCCCCAAAGGGCACTGCTTCTGGGGCCGAAGTTTCTGAAAAGAAAGGACAGGTAAGAACAGAAAGCAAGTAGGAGGCATGCTGGGAAGAAATCACCACGGCTTGGTATGACGCTGCATCTGACATTTGAATGCACTTTGGTTTCTATGACGCACACAGTAACGAGGATATTTTCAGCTAAGAACTCCGAGGTAACAGAGAGGAGCCATATCACAGGCGAGAACGTGCTTCCTTTCCAGCTCTCATCAGCACTCACAGGCTATGATGCCACAGCGGCCCTTTCTGTGCCCATGTCTTTAAGCCTCTGTTGTTTGATCACTCATGGAGTCTCCTTTACAATTTCACAATGGCTTTATCCTGTGACCTTCATTCCCCTCTGAGACACACTGTCGGTGTTGAGGTCTGTTTCCTTCCCGGGACTTCAGAGCCTCTCCAGAGCTGAAGCCCACTCATCTCAAACACTGATGTCTGAGCAAAGCTGGGTGTTTCTTGCATCACAGTTCACACGGTCTGGCATTCTGTTTCCAGACCCAGCAGGCAGCATTCTGGCCCTCCATCAACATTTCCCAGGCTGTCTCCACAGCAGTGCTGATGTGTGTCAGCCATCAAGCGTGCAGAGGTGCCCCATGGGAGCTGCCGTCCACCCCTCACCACCCACCTCATGGTATCTTTCCTAGCTCAAATGCTTGTGTTAATTTCAGGTTTGACCCTCCTTCATGACTCAAACTGACACTAAGATACTTGGAATTCTGGTCCTCCTCCTGCGTGAACCAGCCTGGGAAAGGGAAGGCTGAGGAACCGGCTTCTGTTGGACCGTGATGGTTCTATCGGCCTGACAGTGAGGTGTGGGGTGTGGTGTATGGAAGTCTGCACAGAAGAACGGGGGAGACACAAGCAAGTTAACAACAGTTACTAAAGGCTACTGGTTTCAACGTGACTAGTAACTAGTTAAAGAATTACAGACATGGGCTGGAGAGATGACTCAGCGGTTAAGAGCACCAGCTGCTCTTGCAGAGGACTCGGGTTTGATTCCCAGCACCCACATGGCAGCTAACGACTGTCTATAATACCAGTTCCAGGGGATCCAAAGCCCTCTTCTGACCTCCATGGGCATTGTACAACATGGGAGCACTTATACTCATAAAATAAAAAAAAAGGGTTGGCAACTCAGAGGTAAGGACACTTATTGCCAAGCCTGAAGAACTGAGTTCTATTGACAGTGTGGAAAGAGGGAACTGACTCTCAAAAGCTGTCCTTCTCTGACCTCTATACACCCACCCCCATACACACACACACACACACAAATCCCTTAAAAAATCACACACACACACACACACACACACACACACGCACAAATCCCTTAAAAAAATCACACACACACATACACACACACGCCTTCCCAGGTGGCGACCATGACTCAACATAGCTGAAGACAGGTCTGCAAGAGATATTTGGGAGAATTGGCGGGCTGGACTGAGTGATTTTCTCGTGCTTAAGAAAAATTTTTTAATTTTATGTTTGAGTGTTTTGCCAGCATGTAAGTGCAGGACATGTGAGCAGTGCCCATGGAGGCCAGAAGAGGGCACTGTATCTACTGGAACTAGAGTTAGTGATGGTTGTGAGCCACCATGGCAGTAGGCATCTGGGAACCCAGTCCCAGGTCCTCTGCAAGAACAGCCAGTGCTCTTAACCACTGGGCCATCTCTCCAGTTCCATCTCAATGCTTTTTTTAAAGGAAGAAAAAATAGGACATTAAAGAGCCCGTGTCACTTAGCATGTTCCATGAACTCTGTCTTTAAAGAAATCAGCACTGTTCTATGTGAAGTTTGGTAATGGGCTTAAGGATTTCCATGGGCTCTAGGTTTGCTTATTTATATATTTTTATGTTCATGTATGGTGTGTATTCTCACATGAGTACGTGTGGAGGCCACTGAGTATCCTGCACTGCCTCTCTCTGCCTGTTCCCTTGAGACTGGGTCTCTCACTGAACCTGGAGGAAGGCTGGCAGCCAGCAAGCCCCAGAGATCCTCCTATCTCTGCCCCCCACAGAGCTGAGGTCATAGGTGCACACAGTCATGCTCTTCTTTTGTGGGGATGCTGGGGATTCGCACTCAAGTCCCCACTCTTGCACATCAAGGGCTCTTCCCCACCGAGCCACCTCCCTAGCCCCTCCTTTATTCACAAATGTGTTTTTATGTTTATGGATGCACAGTCATTATACATATTTACAAGGACTATTTCAATACGTGGATGTACCATGCAGCGATGTGGTCAGGGTCATTCACATGCCTGTCACCTCAGACACATCATATTTCTATAGTGGGAGCAAACACTTAAAACTGTGGTCAATCATGGTTTCTCTCCTGTGCCAAATCCACTCCACCCTGTACCTCTTAACCAGCCTTTGCTCGCTTTGATAACTTTAAGATTTCATGGGGATTTCTACTCAGTGATAAATTACTATTTTTTTAAAAAAATATTTATTTTTTAAAATTTTATGTGTATGAGTGCATTGCCTGCAGGTATTTAAGTGCACCTGTGTCCTGCAATGCCTGAGGTCAAAAGAGGGCGTTGGATTTCCTGGAACTGAAGTTATAGATGGTTGTTAGCTGCCATGTGGGTGCTGGGAATTGAACTTGGGTCCTCTGGAGCAGCCAATGTTCTTAACCACTGAGCCATCTCTCGAGCCCCCATGGATTATTTTTTATAGATCTCCAATGTAGTTTTAAGAATCTATATTTATGTAGAAATGGATACATGTACATATGTCCATGAAACTCTAGTAAAGTATGAGGAAAAAGGTAAAACTGGGCAGCGAGTCAATATATATGTAATATGCTGTATCTGAGCTTATACAGCTAATATATAATATGTATAGATTATATATGTAATAAATAGCATATGTGCACACACAACATATATGTGAAATATGTACATAGTATGAGTTATATGCTACATGCATAATGCATATGCAATATATTATATATGTCTATATAGAGCTTGGTGATGAATGTCTAGAGATAGGATTCTTATGTGTACAGCTCTAACTGCCTGTGTCTCTCTTGCACAGATTTAGGGTCCATGTGGAAGCACTATATCAGGGTGGAATCCATCCCATTGGCCCAGGAGATGGTTCACGACAGCATGCTGCCCCACTCCTCATGAAGTAACTCAGTCTGCTTCAGGGTGAAGAGTGGTACTGTGAGATCATCCTGGGAGCCCTGGGTGTTTCTTGGTTAGCACCGGGCTAGTTGTTTACCAAAGTAACAGGAGAGGACAGAGTCAGGCTCCCAATGAACGTCAGAAGCCATGGCGGCAGGTGTTGCTCTACGAGCCTGTTTCCCACCTGTAATGCTGGCAGCAAGAAGCTGTGTTCAGCATGGGACCATCGCTCTACCAGGTTTCACATCCTGGTGAGCAGAGATCTTGCTTAAAAACAAACAGAAGTCTTAGTCGTCGAAGATGGAACCCTAGTGAACTTAACACTTCTTCCTTCTAGAGTCCCGGTGGCCTCGTAGATCCCCTTAAGGACTGGAGAGAGCAGGGCAAGATTACAGCCAGAGCAGAGAATGATTTTAAAAAGGTCTTTCTTCATCTCTTTCTTCTGGAAAAATGCAGGTTGGAATTCCATTTCAGCCACATCTCTTCAAATAGCGGTGAGATTGTGCCAAGTCACTGAAGCCAGGGCCAAGGCCAGCTCCCCTTGGCAGCTCTGCTGGGCTATGTGGTCATGTGACAGGTGAACATAGGGACCCAGAGGGACAGGCTCCAGGCCTGTAGAAGCCATGTGCAAATTTCTTTAGATTTCTAAGCTCACTAATCCTTCCTTGGTTATGTCCTGTTGATTGATGGGTTATCCAAGGGATTGATGGGTTATCCAGGGGACTCTTCACTGTGTGAACATACTTTGGTTTCTAGAATTTTTTTGATTCTTTGCGTTCTGCAAATATCACCCATCTCCTCTTGCACACCGCCCTTTCTCACTAGAGACCTTAGCCTAGGAACCATAGTTGTTTTTACCTTTGTGTGTGTGTTCACACACATGTTGGTGCACGTGCAGGTATGTGCATGTACATGTAAGGCCAGAGGATACCTCAAGTGTTCTTAATCCATCTTTATTTCTTAAATTTTATTTATTTACTTATTTTATATGTACCTCTGTGTGTGTGTGTGTGTGTGTGTGTGTGCATGTGTACAAAGGTTGACCTAGGTATCTTTCTAAATTATTGTCTACCTTTTTTTTTGAGACAGGATCTCTCACTTCAACTAAAGCTTGGTGATTTGGCTAGTCTACCTAGCCAGCCTGCTTCAGGGATGCTCTGACTCTGCCTCCCAAGTGCTAGGATTATGGGTAGGCTACCACACCTGCCTGACATTTATGTGGGTGCTGCAGAACCAAACTCAGTCCTTTGCACTCATGCCAACTGAGCCATCTCCCTGACCCTGATTCTAGTTCTTTTAAATGCCTGACTTATTATTTTATGCTGAAAACAAATACGATGTCCTGGCAAAGGCATCTATCTAGCTCTTGGTCCAGACATGGTTTCCACACTCCTGGTCCAGCAAGCTGTGACTTTACGGCTCTTCCTGCCTCTCCAGCTATGGGGGCTGTTGATGCCCAGGAAGATGGATGTAAAGACTGCTGATCTTCCAGTTTGTCCAGCTTTTTCTCCTGCTGTAAGGAAGGGGGTAATGATCCCCAAGCCCTTTCTATGACTGATCAGACATCAGAGGGGCCCATGTACACAGAGGAGAAAACTTGCTACCAAAAATGTTTGTCACGAACCTAAACAGCTTGTCCAGACAGCATGCAGGGGCTGTGATTGCCCAGGAGCTTTCAGGAGCTGTTCCTTATGACAAGACACATACTATTCTGATGCTAACATAAACCGAGAGTGAAAATATCCCCTTGTGCTGATCTTTTAAGTATATCTTGGCAATTTCTAGAGGAGAGAGAGAGAGAGAGAGAGAGAGAGAGAGAGAGAGAGAGAGAGAGAATCAGAGGCTAACCTCAGCTGCTGCCCATCCTCGTTTTATGAGGCAGAGTCTTTCATTGGCCTGAAACTTGTAAGGAGGCTATTCTGTTTGGCCATTGAGATCCTGGAATACAACTGCCTTTACCTTCCCAGGACTGGGATTACAAGCTTGTGCCAACATGCTCAGATAATTTTTGAGTACGGAAGGATCGAACCCAGGTCCTCAGTCTTGCAAGGCAAGTACTTTACTAACTGAGCCTTCGCCAAGCTCTCATCAAGATTAAACTTTTTTCTAGATCCCTGTCTAGAACTTGTAATGCTAATTACTCTTGCCTTTACTTCTCCTTCACAGCTCCTATTCATGATTCAAGGACTTTCTTCTCCCCTTAGAGACAAAAGTTATACAATTTGGGAGTCTTTTAGATAGACCCACTGAAGGGGTACTCCAATTGTCTCACCCTGCGTCCCTGTTCAGCAAGTAAGAAGCCATACCAGTCTGCATTTCAATTCCCTATTGGCAATTTGGATAACCT